ATTAGGTTGTTGAGCTTTGGCTAAATCTTCAAGTTTTCTAAGCCATAAAAAGAAAGGAATTTCACCGTCGCCTGTGAAAGATAGTAAGCGTATATGAGAACTGAGTAAGTCAGTTGATAACATGTTGATATCTATTGTGTTTGAATTATCAGGTGGAAGATTCATATCAGCTGGAATTAAGTTACTGGTAGGAACGGGTTGTGAATTATCTGACAAGCTTAATGATTGTTCTGTATGAATATGAAGTGGCGGTGTCAGTGAGGGAATTATAGGCGATGTATGTTGTAGTGCATCAATGCGTTGAGCCATAGCTGCAAAACCAGCATCTACTTCTGCACATAGTCGCTTGTGATTATCACCCAATTTAGTCATATCTGTTAACAATTTTTGTGTGTTGTTGTGAGTATGAATCCCGAAAGCTATTAGTTTTGTACCAAATAATTTCAAATCTGGGAGAGTCAGTTTAGCAGTGCTGCGAACATTATCAAGGAAAGAAAAATCAAACTTATACGAGGGTAATGACTGGCTTGAATGTGCGAAGCCCAGGAAATTAGAGGAATTAGTTATATGTTGTGCCAAAACATCAGCATAAGCTATGGCAGCTTTTCGAAATAGTGTTAGTGGTTCATTAGTAGGATTAGCAAGTAGAATATGAAGGATGTCTAAGGCGATACAATCCCGGGTGTTAGCGTGAGGTGCCGTAAAGATAAGCGTACATCTACGGTATCAATAAGGAGGACATTATCTTCGCCAGTAAATTTGTATGGAGCAAAGTCCACGTGGTAATGAAGAAAGGTTTCTGCATGAAGGGCTAAAATGGTGTCGTGCAGGAGTCGTACAGGAATGACGGATAGTTGAGGTGGAAATCTGGGTTGACTGCAAAGCGGGAGAATAAGTTTGTTAATAGTGAAGGTGTGAGCGCAGTTGTTAATGGTGGATAGTGGGAAAAGGCGGAGGATATCGCATACTAATAAGCTATCGAAGCTTTGTTCCCTGGTCGTATGCAAATCATCGCAGAAATGCAAGAAAGCATTGGCTTGTACATCTGATATTTGAAAACAGACCTTTGTTCGCCCCATGATGTGTATGTGATGGCCGGGAATGCCTGTAGTCTGTGTTCTGTCGGTAAGGCCGACATTTATTGCCAATTTCGAAGCTAGCTGTGTGTGACAGATAGTACCGACCATATACGCCAACGGCTTGCTGTTTACGTATCCTACGAAGCAAGGTTGCTCCATTGAGGGTTGTACTGTGAATATTTCAACGGGAGAACTCACGCGAGGAGGCCAGGAAGGAATGGAAGGAGCTGTTGACAGTGGTAGTAAGTTTGAAATTTGAGCATTATCCAGTGTGTTGATGGCGCTGACACCAG